AAAAGCCCAGCTTCCAAGCTGGCCCGCAGACTCTCAGGAGCAAGTTGAGGCTTTTCAGTGTCCGTTGAAAGTGGTTATAGGTGCTGAACACATCCCTCCCTTTTCAGAGACTTGGACAGAAACAGCAGAGGGAATGAGATCCCAGATCCTTGGGACTCCTGGGGACCTTTCCTGTTAGGTAGAATTAGCTCTTCCTAATGAAATAGGATAACGTTAGAAGATCTGTTTGCTCTGACCTTTTAAATAGCAAAGATTTCTTCTGAAATGAACTCAGGTGGCCTATCAGCTGTGGAGGTGGAACCTGGGGAGTTCGAGAGGATACCCTCGAGGGTGGGACGACTCAGCCAGGTGGGGTTCCTTCCCTGTGCCAGCATTCAGCACCAATCCAGTTTGGTTCTGCAACAGAAATTCCAGCTTTGGCAATTACCTGGTCTCTCCTGGAAGCAGCACTTCAGCAGCACATGTCCCTCCAGAGACAATTGGACGCTAGCTTGCGGGACCCGGTGTCCCTGCTGAAAGGGTGAAGAGTGGCTACCGCTTGAAGATCTGGAGACCAGAGTGATTTGAGGACGTCATCGTGTGCCAGCCCAGCTGGCCAGGCTGCTTCGGGATGCCCACGTTGTGCCAGAGCCCACTCTTGGTACTTATTCTGGGAATTCTGGGAAGAAGGGAAATGCAGTAGCCTTTGGACCCCCGAATTATCCTTAACCCCCCCCCATTTTGCAGTCCCAAGATCACAGGAAATCAGGCTTTGCATTAACTTTCACGTGGAGATGAGCACACACACTTAAAATTAATTTGAATCTCAATTTCTGAGTGCCTGCTATGTTCCACATGTACTGAATGGCACCAAAACTTCTCACTTTATCACACATAATAGATACCTAGGGAGACACAGACTTGTCACCTACATGTTCACATCTTTGGGCACACAAAACATAAGCAAACACACAGACCCTCCACCTGTTTCCAGACACACACCCGTCCTCTGGCCATCTCCCCCACCGATACGCACGTGAACCTCTCCAAGCTGTGTGTTCATGCACACACCGGCACAGGTTTCTCCCCACACACAAGCATGCAAATCTATAACCACACTTGAGTGTCCCTGCCCACAGAGCTCCATGGGGAGGACCTCACCATCAGCTGTTTGGTCCAGAGATGGCTCCAGCTCATCAGGGACTCCCTCGAGCACCCTCTTTTGTGTTTAGCCAGGTAGGGTCCTTGGGGTCTCTGGTATTTACCAGCAGCTCTCACTTGCCAGTAGAGGGTGAGGTGTTCTGTCCTAAGGATTTCTTGTGTGGAATGAATTCTGCAAAATGGCACAACTTGCTGCAGCTCCACTTGCCTCTCTCCCTTAGACAGCTCACCCTGAAAACATTTTTTTAAGTGGTGTGAGGGAAACTGCAGAAGTTTTGGAAAATCTGAGTAGCCATTCTCCCACTGCATAAATCGCCACAAGCCAGTTGTGCTGCTGGCCGCACCAGAGCCTGCTGATTGAGTGCAGTATTCTCACAGATCTTGCAGGATGAATCAGCCACTCCTGTTGGCATCCATGAAACAGGAATCTCAGCAAACAGTTGTCCTCTTCCTTCCGCCCTGTCTGAGGTTCTGGCAGCCAAGAAAGCTACCAAGTTTTGCTCTGGGGCCAAAACAGATGTAACTGTGGAAGCCCAGGCCCTCTCTCAGACCCCTTAACAGAGATGAGATGTTCTTCCTCTGTTACCAACCAGATCCCAGGCTTATGCAGCCTTCTTGGCCAAACCTGATGAAGAAAGTAGAATTAGGTCCTTGGTAGCAGCTAGCTGGACCCAACAGAAAGAAATGCACTTGGGGGCCTAAAGCCCCAGCGCTATAGAAGGCAGAGGACAGTGTGGGGGGCTCTTAGTTCGGTTTGTCCCTTCAGTGTACCAGCCCCCTTCACCTTTTCATCATCTGGAGGACTTGGGCGAGGAGCTTCAAGTCCCTACCCCAAGGGTTACCCAGGAGGTGATGCCGGGCCACACCAAGAAAGGTTAAACTGAGATCTGGGCAGAGAACACAGCACTACTCAATCTTTGGTCATCTCAGTCATTTTTAGTAAACAGTCATGGCCCTTGAAAGAAGCAGAGACCAAGCAAGTAGTGGCAAAGGAATCAGGCTATAGGGAACTTGGCCTCCGAGCCCCTCCCCAGTGCTGTCTCCTGCCGGAGAGAGATGTGAAGATTTTTATGTTGGGAGTCAGAAGAGGGGGGACCTAGGTGGAGCAGGACACCTGACAGTCCCTTCCCTTTTGCATGTTCCCACTGCAGTGCTCAGGCTTCTGTTTCGTGGGCCCTCCAAGCTGCCTCGAGGGTGCTGGAGGAGAGTACTGGCACTGTGTGGGTGGAATGATGAGAGAGGCATTAAAGACAAACTGCAGGAGTGGGTGAAAACCCTGGTGGGTAGATGCACCCCTTGAAGAGGCTGTCTATAAGTACAGAGGTGTGCAGTAGTCCTGTGAACGGACGGGGCACTTGTAGAGCCAGGAAGGTGGGCCGATGCTTGAGCCCCCCAGCGCCTAGAATACCTGGGTCTGGAGGTAGAGCAGGATGGTTTTGCCCTGCCCTGTCTCACATTAGTCTTCATTCCAGAAACAGCCACCAGCCACCCACTGGACAAGAGGGGAGGGGAAAGGACTTGGTGGCCTGGTTCAGGGGACCATCATAGTTGGCCCAAGCATGGTTCAAAGCAAAATAACACTGCCCCTGGGCATCACGGGGGCAACACTGTATGTGCAGCCCCCTGGGAATCCCTTCTGGAAACTCTACAGTTAATTAGGCTTCAGTTGAAAAATGTGTTCTGCAAGGTGCCTGCTCCAGGCAGACAAGACATGGAGTCTCAGAAATAGTAGGTGGGTCCTAGAGGGACTCCTCGGTGCCCCAAAGGGACTCTTTCTTGGAGGGACCCACAGCCCCCATGGGCCAGGACAAAACCCAATGCATAAAGAGAGGGCTGCTTTAGCAGGGTCGCCTGCTAGCTCAGGAGTTGCCTGAGCGCTGCTCAGCCCCAGTGCACAAAGTGTCTCTCTCTGGAAGTAGCAGGTCCCAGATCAGCAGCACCGCAGGGGCAGCCATGGGAGGAGCCCAGGGTCCACCGGCCTCGGCCTCAGGGAATCAAGCTTTTGATGATGCCCCGCAGTGCTCCAGTGCTCGGGGCAGGGCTGTGGACCTGTGGCTGTCTGAAGACAATGGCCCGCGTGGTGCTGAGGCCACACTGATCCCTACCACAGACCCAAAGGGGCCTTTGGGAACCTCAAGGCTGGGTGACACTCGTCCTTCCCTCCCTTTGGGCAGATGATCTTGCATAGGACAGAAACCAGGGAGCCTGGAGGCACCGCAGGAGACAAAGCCACCCACGCCTGTCATGGGGCAGCCCTCCTGGCTCAGAGTTCTCCACGTCTGCAGGCCCAGGGCACCCAGTCCTGACACACTCACAGCTGGGCTTCTGGGGCTTGCTCCCAGGAGTGCCATCTTGGTGACCGGTGGAGAGCCAGACTTGAACCCCACCTTGGCCTCAGAGGAGGAGCCAGTGCTAAGGCCAGGACCCCAGCGGCAGTGGCCCACTTTACAGAGCTGCCCACTCCCACCTCCTTCCTCCAGGGCCTTTCCAAGTTCCCAGTCATCTGCCTGGCCTGGGTTCTCCCTTGCTCAAAAGCTCACAGTTGGCCAAATGCCTGAGGAAATTCTCCTGGGCTGTGGAGAGCGCCGTCCTGTAGCTGCTTGGTCCCTTTGGTCACAACTACCATTCTTGATCACAGTGTCTGCCGCTTGCACACCTGGTACCTGGGCAGTGCTAACAGAAGCTCTCTGAAGACACTATTGATAGTGGGGGCCTGCCCCGTAGCTCAGTTCTTTAAGTGGCTGCTTCAACAAAGCAATCAGGCTGAGGTTGCTGTGGTTCGATCCCCACAACTCAAGCCAGCCAAACCTGCCCTGAAGGCATCTGGAGCAAAAAAATAAAAAATAAAAAGACACTATTAATAGTGTTAAGAGAAACTGAGGCACCAGGTT